TGGGCTACAACATACACTCAATTCCCCATAGGGGTAAAATGGGAAAACTCAAATGCAACATGAAACATAAAACAGAAAATACATAAAAAATACAGACTCTGAATCGTAGCAGTCGATCCAAGACTACGTCGATGATACACATGTCGATTTCTTTGACTGATGTCCTCATCATAAGTACTGCCACATTTCTTACATTTACATTTTTGTTTTCCATCTTTCGTATTAGTTAACATCTCATAATGGCCCCAAACAACTGAGGTTATCCTTCGTCGTTTCTTAGTAATTGTCCCCTCATTACATAGCTCGTTAGCGGGCTCTACAGCATTTTCACAAGTCCAGACTTCTTCATTTTCATTAAAAGAAAAATTCTCATGAATGGTATTGAAATCCTCAATCTAACCAAAATATTAGAATATATTACAAATTTACAATGCTAATTCTAACATATTGGTTAAATTTCTTGTTTAAAAAATACACATAACACATTGAAACTTTAACTCATTAAATTCTTTGCCAAATGCTAAAAAATAACTTCTCCAACATAACATGTATGACATAAAATGTATGAATAAGAAAAAAACATAATTAATAACATAACTGAATAGAAGTCAAATAATCATCAATCAAGCATGGGTTGTTGTAGTATAGGTTAAAAATAATCAAGAAATCTCTAAGACCAAAGAAAACCATCATACACTAAAAAGTATTAAGGAATTTATAAAATACAACATATTTCACCTTACAATAAACATCATATAACTAATTTCATCAGCGAGTGAGAGTTGATAAGGGCATGTCATATGTGAGGGATCATGCATAAGAAGTATTATTTGCTAAGAGAGCATGACTTCAATAATTAATGGGTTGATGGCTTGTTGAATAGTGAACATAAACACTAATAACAACAACTCAATATAATGACATAACTGTCAAATACAAATATAACAGCATAACATATCCTCTGAATATAGAAAAACATTCTTGGAACCAGATATAATTGAATAGAAGTCACATAACCATCAACCAAGCATGGGTTGTTGAACATCAACTCAGCATAACAACTAGGGGTGAAAATAATTTACACGATACCATCTCTAATAACAGCATAACGCCATAACACCATTAACTGAACAGAAAAACCAACACAAACTGAAAAGAAAAACCAGCACATTGAGCTTGACTTGGCTCATTTACACACCTACTGCTATTGATTAAAAACCAGCAATGACTGAACAGAAAACCCAGCACAAACAAAAAATTACTCTGAAACCAGATTTAACTAAACAACACTTCATCAATTTTTCGGCCAAAACAACACCAAACCAGAAAGCAGTCAATCCAAAAATGTATGCGAAACTTTACCAGATTTTAAAAAAAAACTGATATAATATTCGAGATAACATCAAATTAGCAAGACAATAACAAATCGAACAAACCCTAAACCCGAAAATTTCTTACAGAACTTCATAATAAATTGATCAAACAGCAAGACAGCAAGATAACCCTCTACTCTGCTCATAGATCAAGCTTCTAAAATAAGAAAATAGAAAAAAGATAAGATATACAAACAACGAGCAATGCAAGTGTTTGTGTTGAGCTAAACGAGATGTACACGATGAACACCACGGACCAACAATATGCCAGAGAAGGAGAAGAGAGGAAACCGTTGACAGAGCCAGAGATCTGAGGAGATTCGAAGAGAAGAAACGGAAACCCTAAACGAGACAGCGAAGGAGAGGAGAGGATGAAGCGGACGCGAAATGAATATGTGCGAATGCGGAGCCCTAATTTAATCCTCGTCGCGTGAAATGAAAAATACGCAGGTCAAAACGGGTCCGATTTCGGGTTGTCAGGTTAACCCAGACCTGACCCGAAAGTTGAACAAGGTCATTTTACTGAACCCGAACCCGACCCGTTTTGAAATCGGGTCGTGTTTGACCTGAAATTTCTGGGTCGGGTTAAAGTCGGGTTTTCATGTCGTGTCAATTATTGGAGTAATTATTACGTCCGATCACCGGACGCGTCCAATTACCCGAACCCGCTCGGTATACATTCGAATTTTCAATTTTTTGTCCAGATGAAATAATTATTCCAATTATTGACACCCCTACCTATAAGGTTAGCACATTAAGAAGATAAATAAATAGAGGAAGAAGTTTACCATTGTCGAGGTCTAGAAACAATTTGCAACTAAACATTGGCAAGTTGTTCTTCGATTACTTCAGATAGTGTGAAGATTATGCGGTCCAAGAATTCTTTGATGGAGTGGTCAACTTCTAGGTTGACGTCGAAGAAGGTTGACCGGAGAATGTCGACGCCACCTTGCTCGTTGTAAATGAATCTGGAATCAAGATCGGGATCGACCATTGATTGATTTCAAAGGGTTGAAATGTTTGAAGGCGTTTGTCGTGGCTTCCCTCGAAGGCTCAACTAGAGAGAGAAGTTTCTCTCACGAGTTGTAATGGAGAAGAGGGAGGTGGCCGGCCTAGTGGTAGAGAATTAAGGCTTGGAAATTTAGAAATTTGGTGGAGTTAGAGTTGGATTTAAGAGAGGATTTTGGACAGAAAAGCTGGAATTAATTTCCAAATCAAAGTTTGTTGAATTTGGAAAGAAGTTTAAAAGAGGTTAGAAACAAGGAGGGGGGAGAGTGAAGTAGAGAGGCTTGGGATTTAATTCCAAAAGAAAACAGGTGAGTTTGGGAAGAAATAAAGGAGGTGGGGACCTTGGGGATTTTCGGCCAAGAGAGAGGGAGGGGTAACTTGAATTATTTCCAAGAGAGAGGGAGGGGTGACTTGAAACAATTCCAAATAGGAATTGAATGGGGGCCGCGACATAGGGAGAATAGGGAGGGATTTATGGAAGCATTTAATGCTTCCTTCAGTTAGGGAATTAAATTTGGGAAAGGAAATTTCATCCCAATTTAAAATATGAAGGAATTTGGAAACTTACCTAAAATAGGATTCATATTTTATGTAATAATTTCAAATTAAAAAAAAAAAATGAATTTGGTCATTATTTAAGCTACCTAAAATACGACGAGTTAATTTAGGAAAGGTGTAATGGCAATGATGATAGAGGGAAAAGCAAGAGAAGGTGCCGGTGGTAAAAGATGACGATGCCCTTTAGGCTTACACATGACCACCCTTAAGTAAGGGGTAAAAGGGAAAAATAACTAAAAGTAAATACAAACATAAATAAATAAAAACAAATGCATATGACGACTTAACAATATATTGGAGCGATCATGGTCGTAGAATGACGGTCGCGCCTCTGATAGACTTTCCAAGTTTCGATGCCCCAATCACATCCTCATCTATGCCACACTTAATATTATGCTTCTCTTTTATTGGCCAACATTCGACACCATAAAGCATTGCAGGTCTCACCACCATCTTATAGAATTTTCTCTTAAGTTTGAGGGGTACTTTTTAATCACACAACAAGCCTGATGCATTCCTCCACTTCAACCATCCAACTTGAATTCTACTGATAGTATCCCCATTTATTTCACCATTACTCTGAACAATAGATTCAAGATATCTAAAACGTGTACTCTTATTAACGACTTGAGCGCCCAAAGTTACAGTCCCCTCACTAGGTCTATTACCACTAAAATTACAATCCATATATTTTGTTTTAAATCACTAAAGCGAAAACCTTTAAACTGTAAGGTTGACCTCCATAATTCAAGTTTACCTTCAACTCCCTCTCTACTCTGATCAACAAGAAGAATATCATCAGCAAAAAGCATACACCAAGGTACATCCTCTTGCAAATGTCTAGTGAGAACATCCATGATTAAAGCAAAAAAGATATGGGCTTAAGGCTGATCCTTGATGTAACCCAACCGAAATAGAGAAATACTTGATCAAACCACCTTGCGTTTGAACACAAGTAATAGATTTTACATACATATCTTTAATGATTTGAATATAAGCGTTATTAACTCCTTTCTTTTCAATAACTCTCCATAGCACTTCTCTTGTAACTTTATCTTATGCTTTTTCTAAATCAATAAATATCATATGCAGATCCTCATTTTCTCTATATTTCTCCGTCAAACCTCTTAATAAATGAATGACTTCCATAGTCAACCTACCCGGCATGAATCCAAATTGATTTTGCGAAACATTAGTATCACATCGCAACCTATGCTCCATAACTCCCTCCCATATTTTTAAAGTATGACACATTAACTTAATTCCTCGATAATTCGCACAATCTTGTGCATCACCTTTATTCTTAAAAATAAGAATTAACACACTCATTCTCCACTCATCTGACATCTTTGTAGTCTTCAAAACATTATTAAAAAGTTGAGGAGCATAAGCACTTATAATATTAAAAATCTTAACATCAGCAATAATCTTTAAAACTATAATGTTATCTTCAATTTTATTAATTTTTATAATATTATTCTTCAAACTCTACCTACACTATTTCTAGTACAATTCATACTAGAATATTATAGTTTAAATCCTAAACTATCAACCTCCTCAGTCTTCTCTCCAATCCATTTAATTTTCTAAATGCATAGAATATTTATCTTTTGATGAATCATAATATATATTAATCTCATTAATTTGTTGACAAAGGAACCTATATTTCAAGATTCTATCATAATTTTAGTTTCATGTACTAACTTCTTTCCACACATATGACAATGATATGGAAACTCTTGCCTATTTAACACTGCACCCGGGCATCAGTGCAGCGGCCCTTGCACACTTCTCATTGTATTCAGGTCATACAACGCGTCGCTTCCAAGGAACGCACTAGCATTAACATAATGTATAAAGTATTTATGTCATAGTTATTCGACAAATTTTATGTCGGTTATCGACTACCTAATGCAACCCTCCATTTTTCTCATCCAGGACTTGGGACCTAATAATGACAGTGTTCAATATTCAACAAGTTTGAATTAAATAAATTTATTAGATGTCACATCTTTAAAATGCATTGGAAACCCCCAATAATATCAAGAAAAATTATCAACAAACAAAAAATAACATTTGTATGCTTGCAAAGACTAAATTGGGGAAGGAGCCCATACATCGGTATATAAAAATTCTAAACATCTAGTACTTCCAGGAGAAGCTTAAAAAAAAAAAAAATATAAGCACAAGATTGTGCGGTGAAAAGAAGTGGAGATCGACCTGTTGAGATGAAGTTGAGCTGGGAGCAATGACTGTATAGATGCAGATGGATGTCCTAACCGCTGATGCTGATAGGAGTGGTGATAGAAGCAGCATGAGATGTAGCAGAGTGCAGCTGTAAATGGGAAGTAGAAGACTAAATAGGGTGCAACCAGTGAAGATTAGGACCTTGAAGAAGAGTCTTGTTGGTCTAGAAATCCTTAATGAGAAAGCAATTGGGATCAAATAGCCCCGAACAAGGGTAATCAGAGGTCAATTTATGAACTAATAATAAATCGTGAGAAAGATTTGGTACATATAAAACATGGTAAGAGAAGCATACGAGATGGAGTTGGAAGAATGCCCTGATCTACATTGGCTATAAGAAGTGTTTGACAGTTGCCAATATGCATTTGAGAGGAGCTAGAGTATGGTTGAGATAAATGTTTTTATATATCTGTTGTAAAATGAGAGGATGCCCGAATAAAAAAAACAATCAGCAAAATAAGAAGTTACCAGAGCAAGGAAGGCTAGCCGGTTGGATTGAAATGAGAGGTCAATCCTAGCCCAACATTTAAGAGCATAGCATCCTGGTTTTCCATCTATTTGACTCTCAATATATTGGTGCAATTGGCATCCTAAACGAGCAGATCTAATGGGCATACAACCTCCTTGGGGCATAGACACACAATGTCAACCGCTACCTGCAGCTTGAAATGAAGCACGACCACAGATCCTTCTACAAACAACAGCCAAAGTAAAGGGAGAATCAGTAGAGCCATCAGAAGACTTATCCCGAGCGAATTCAACAACAATGTTAAGTTAATCACTACGAAGCAATAGTAAAGATCAACCAAACTGACATGTTGCAGTTTTGTCCGAATTGCACCAATATTAATGGATGTTTATTAGTCCATTAAGCCCATAAAGGAAACAATGCGAGAATGGTAGCAGCCACAATTACATCAACCTTTTGTTTGATTTTAGAAAGATATTCTTTCATAAGATGTTGATGGAGTTCATCTTTCAGTTGAAGAATGCGAGAATGATTCATAGATTGCAAGCATCGTTCAATGTTTAGCTAAATGTCGTGATAGGATTCCAAAAGCACATAGGGAAGCAACGAAGTACTGGTGAAATAGAGAGCTGCAAAAAATTTTTGATCAATAAGCATCCAGTTTGGAAAGTGAGGCCTAATAGATACTTCCAACATCCAATACACTCTGCTTAACAGGTTTTGGGGTGGAACCATCAAGGTATCAGTCAAATCCACTTGCACAAAATAGTTTTAGGATTTGATACTTCCAAATATGTGATTATCAGTTAATCACTGAACACTAATCACAATTTTGATATTTTTCATGAGAAATTTAAACTGAGATGGAATAGAAATATCACACATCTTTATTTGAAACAACATTTGATAGGAACGAGGTCGAATCAAATTGGTTCATTAAGAAAATGACGAGAGAGATGAGGAAAAAAAAACGTTACAGCTGCAGAAATTGTTGTGAGGATGAAACTTTAATACCATTTAGAATTCAAGCTTCATAACCTGCAGCGGCGTTACAGAAAACAGAAACGAAAAAAGCTGAATGCAATATTATTTCATCAATATCACTTCAATACAAAATGAATATATATATATATATATATAGGCTAAGATAGACTATTAAGACTCTTACCTACCGGATTAAGGGGAAGATCTATTCATGCTTGGTGGACTCTATATCACTGGCTCTCAAAACAGTGATCATGAAATAAAAAATGGAGAAAAATCTAAACAATATTAAATAAAATAAGTAAAAAAATGCAAATTTTAACAACTCAATAGCTTAAACAAAAGATTTTAAAAATTTTAAATACAAAGCAAGGTGAACCTAAAAGGTTAGGTTCAAAGCATCAATAGGTTGGTTACTCCAATGGCAACGATCAGTGGCAGGGAATTACTATGTTTAGAAGACCAGGCTCTTCTTGAAGGTGTTAGTCTATTAAAAAGCTAAGGTTCAAACCCAAAATTTTTTTGGGACTTAAGACGGGTTCAACTACCAACATCTCACACATGTGAAAGACTTCCAGCTCAAGACCGTTTGGTAGAAAATCAAGATCCAACAAACAGGCTAAGATAGACTATTAAGACTCTACCTACCAGATTAAAGGGGCTCTATTCATGCATTGTGGACTCTATATCTCTGGCTCAAAGCTGTGATCACAAAATCACAAATGGAGTAAAATCTAAACAATATTCAATGAAATAGAAATAAAAAATAGCAAATTTTAACAACTCAATAGCTTAAAAAAAATTAAAAAAAAAAATTAAATACAAATCCAGGTGAACCTAGAAGGTTAGGTTCAAAGCATCCATAGGTTGGTTACTCCAATCGCAACGATCAGTGGCAGGGGATTACTATGTTTAGAAGACCAGACTCTTCTTGAAGGTGCTAGTTTATTAAAAAGCAAAAGGCACTCTTAAACTCTGCCTTATATGGATGTGAAAGCTCCATCACTGTCTTGTGCCTACATGAAAAGGGGGAAAAAAAAAGAATGAAAATATTCCGATTACATTTTGGTTATGATAAATTTAAAAAACTATGAATGTTAAACATTGGGTGAGAATTTTAAAAGCTCCATCACTATCAATGCAGAGCATTATTATTTTGAAATGAGTGCAATACAAAAATTGATTGATTATTCATTTATTGCACTCTATCTCAAAGAAAATTCAAAAAATTTAAAAACTCGTCCAACCCAATTTTTTTTCCACAGAAAAAATTTTAAAATTGTGAGGTTAGTAATCGGTTTTGGATGCAATAGCTGTTAGTTTAGAGATATATGAAGATATTTCGTGCTAAACAAACTAAATGATATTTGCAATCTTCTTTTGTATGTCATTGGAAACAACACAGAATTAGATTGTAGACATGAGGGAGTATGAAAGAAAGCTTTTGGAAGCAATAGTAGGAGATAGATATCGGGCTTATTATGCTTCATCTTCTAATCTTCAACTTAAAGGAAGAATATAATACAAACAAAAAAAATAACAGGCTAGCCTTACTTTTTGAAGTTAATTCTGTTGCCTCTCTTATAGCGGAACTGGCAGCATAAAGCACCATTTTTTTAACCTACATGTGTCAAAAAGATGATGCAATATATTATCATTTCATAATCAGGAGTATTGAGCTATACAGAGAAGGCAAATTCTAAAGTGCACAAGTATCACATTGAATTTGCTGTTGAATCGGAAATAAACCATAATTACGTATAACATAAAGGGAGTTCATTTTGTAAATAATTATATCTTGAAGCCTATATTAGTTTAGCCAATATATGATAGCAAGAAAATTTAAATGCATTTAAGAACCATGAAAAAGTTCACATATTCTGTACATCTTAAGAAGATAGACATGTGGCAAACAGAAATACTGCAAGGACTACTACACTAAGATTTATAGGATGTAAGATACGGGTGAGCCTAATCACAATCAAGATGTAAATGATCTACACCTGAAGAGAGGAAATAGTGCTTCTTTAAATCTACCGAGGAAATTTTACCGTTTTGCAGTAAAACCAGCAATGTTGTATGGCAGAATAAATTTGGAATATAGTTCTGGATAAAACTTATATGTTAATACTGAATATGAATCATAAATAAGGCAACTGTCCAACATTCCAAGTGGATCAAAGAGTTAGGGCTTACAAATCTAGACTTTTGTATGCAAAGTTTTGCAACGTAGGGTTCATTTGGGACGGTTGCAATTTTTTGCAAAGGTGGCTGTAAAGCTTTTTTTTTAAATACTGTAGAAAGCAATTTTCTAACATAAAAATTTCTTGAAAGCAGCCAAAATATCGTGGACAAACAAAAACCGTGGTTAAATTCTTAAAAGCATAGTAAGAGAGCTGTCTCAAATGAAGCCATATTTTGATCCCAAAGCAAGAAAGTGAATCTTCCATGATTTTAAAAGGCTTGTATGTAAAGTTACCATTGATAACCCAAACCTAATTGTTGTGTCCACAGTTCAGGGTTTAATGAAGACTTAGGTTGCCATAAAAGACTTCTTCGTTAATGCTGATTGATGTATCAATGCCTAGAATTTTGGTGCCATAAGGACTACAAAGCCGTGTAAGCAAAGACTACAAATTGAAAATGAATTAATAAAGAGAAAACATAATTCAATGAAAATGAGGACCGCCTTTGCAATTGCCTTATAAATGATGATTTTCCTTGCAATACACTACTCTACCCTTTTACAGGTAAAAAATTAATTTATCAGAATGATGATATTTTGAAATAACATCCAGGTGGAGTTATTAAGATATAAGAAATTGATCATTACGATGTAAAGATGAGAAATTTGAGAAAGACTGAAGCATATCATTTTCATAATCTATTTGTGACAAAATATGCAATCATCAATTAATGAAAAATTTATAAATTTGAAATTTAACATGATATTATCATTATCATTATGGAAGAAGTTGACTGCCATCATGATTATCATTTACAGTTGAAAAGAATTCAACTTCAATTTCATCATCCAAATATGGAACTTTTTTTTTTTAAGATTGTGCCCTCAGCATCTTCTATTAAAGAAGAAATAATCAAAGAAAATATTAATCATCATAAAAATAATTTTCGGGATCTATTCTCTTTATACTGAGAGATGATGAAATATTAAGTAAGAAAATATGCATGGGACATCCCCCCTTCTCTCTCTACCTTCCATTAAGGCTCCAATGCAAAGAAGAAAATTTTATAAGCTTTCTAATCAAGGATCTCTTCAATCAAGTAAACAAATCCAAAATAGTTCCATGACAATCATATGTGACTAATTTAATCTAAGAGTATAATATTTATCCAATTTAGTCTCTCAACAATATAAAATTAATGTCAAATAGTATCCCCCTTGCAAAAATTGAAGGAAATTGAAACACAATTTATTTCAATTTAGCCCCTCGACTATACATAATTGATCCTAATTTATCCCCTGAGAGTTTGAGAGGCCATTTGGGATCAAATTTATATAGTTGATGGACTAAATTAGAGAAATGTGCTACTCTAAAACTAAATTGACCGCATACGAATAGTCAATGGGATATTTTAACCTTCTTCACCTTTAATTGAGAATAATGGCAATCAAATTTTGAATATTTTGGATCATTTTTTCATTATGAAATTATATAATAAAGCATATTTTAATGCTTATAAAAATGGAATGAGTTATGTTAGAATATAATGTTGAGTAGAAATAATGTAAATTATAACTTGTTTGCAATGAAAGATAAAGCTTGGCAGCTTCCATCTATAAGGCTACATAGGTGAGTATGACTACAAAAATTATTTGTATCTTTAAGTTATTTTTCTTCTTCAAATAATAATATCGGCTTCATTGGCTCTAATATCAAATGATGTAGATGTGATATGGGCTAGTGATGGAGACATCAGAGCATGGAAAATTTATCAGAGGCGTGGTCACCGATCTACTACCACGATCGTGCCGATCTATTTTTGAATCCTCATATGTACATGTTTTATTTATTTGCTTTTGTATTTGTTTTAGTTGTATTTTCCTTTTTGCCCCTTAATGGTTTGTACTCCCAAAGGGCTAAGTCGTCTTTTTATTTTCTCGTCCATTGTATGAGGCTATATATAGCCCTTATGTTTTTCTTTTGAAGGTTAATGAATGAATAATAAAAATTTCAGCATGTTGAGTCCGGGTTTCCCTAATCCAAACCGCCGGCTATCCAAAACCCCACCGTCGACTACCGCCCCATCCCACCACCGGCCTAGCCCTCTTTCCCCCACTCCACATAGCCGTCGGCCACCCAAAGAGGCTCCCCTAGATTGGGTGATCTACTTAAGCCCACCACCCCACCTAACCCTAACCCAAGTCTAACCTAGCCGCCGGCCCCCTTGTTTACTTTGCTCCCAAATTTACAATTCTCATTATTACTTTCCTATTCCATACTCCCTCTTTTGGAAGGTGACAATTTCAATCATTCAAAACCAAATTTGAATTTGAAACATTTCCTAAAATAAAATTCTATTTAGGAAAGTTTCCAAAATCAAATTCAAATTTAATTTGAATTGGATTTGAATTAAATCTTATGTCCTAATTAGAGAATCCTATTTAAGAAAGCAATAAACCTTGCTTAATTTCCCCAAATTCTCCCCCCTATACTGTCGGCCCCCTTCATGGTCCCCTAAGGAATTATTTCCAAACTTCAAGCTTCTCTCTTGGAAATAATTCAAAACCTTTCCCTCTCTTACCCGACCCCACCCCTTTCCTAATCAGACATAAATCCTTTCCAAGTTAAAGGATTAATTAGGGAAACAATTGCTTGATTTTCCTCCACCTTACTCCCTCTAAAATCTGAACATAATTTTTCCCCACGCCCCCCCTCTTTGGTCGGCCACCTCTCTCCCTCTTCTCCACTTGAATCCTTGAGAGGAACTTCTTTCTCTCAAGAGGAGTCCGTAAGGGTAGCCAAGACCTTCGTCTCCAATACTGCAACCTTACGGAATCGATGTATGGCCGATCCCAACCTTGATTTCGGCTTCATCTACAACGAGCAAGGAAACGTCAACATTCTCCCATCAACATTCTTCGACGTCAACCCGGAAATAGACAATTCCGCCAAAGAATACCTTGATCGTATCATCTTCACCTTGTCCGAAGCAATCGAAGAGCAGCTTGCCAACGTTAAATGGCAAATCACTTTCGCTCCACGATGATGGTAAACTTTTTCCCCTGTTCAAATTATCTTCAAATCCTCTGCTCTTGTAGGTTGTGATTCAACCACAAGGAGTCATGTCAAGCTCTGTGCCTTCGCTTAGTAAACGTAGGATTTGAGTTTTGACTTTCTATGTTTTCTGATCTCATTGTTAACCTAGGGATTCTATTGAACATCTGCTTAATTTGCAAAGGTTAAAATTCTAATTACTTTGGTGATTCTAGCTCTTAGCATGTGATTTGGCCTAAGCGAAGCCATCTCTCTTTTGTTTCCTATTATCGTTTAGTGGCTAACGTTCGTAATTATTAATTACTCTTATTCAAAACATGCAAGTTCTTATCACATTCATTTAAATCCTACTTAGTGATGCATCATCTAGTATCAGAGCATAGTTGTATTTAGATGCCTGTTAGGAAAATTTTTTTACATATATATCTATATATATACATACATACATATATACATACATACATTCATACATAAATACATATATATATATATATATATACATACATAAATACATACATAAATACATATATATATATATATATATACATACATAAATACATACATAAATACATATATATATATATCTCCAAAACTTCTACCTTCTTTGATGCCATGCCGTCTAGGATTGAGAGCTCTTATACCAAATTGATACGCCCTAGGGTTTCTCAATTTCGGTTTTGCCCTAATTCCCCTCCAATGAAGAGAATTTCTCCACCAAATCCAAAGAAAAAAAACAATCACAAGAGAAGTGGGATGAAGAACAAAAGTAATTGCATTCAGGTCCAAGAGAAAACAAGATAAGTTTGTCCATTTCGAGAAGGACAAGGTCTCCCACTATAAACCCTAGAAAAAGCAAGAGGAAAGTAAGAGCAAAGTTCCAAAAAAGCATAAAGCAAAACTGAACCCTAATGGCCCCTTAATGTCATCCCAAATTCCTCTCACATCCCTAAATTACCCTTCCAAATAAACCCTCCAATCTCCCTCAGCATTCCGCCCCCCCTGGATGCCGTCCGATCAAATAGGTGGGCCCGTGGGGCCCACCATGGCTTCTCCCTGCTCCAAGCGGGCTCGCCCGCCTCCCCTGTTCCGCCTGTAGGCCCGCACGGGTCCGAGTGGATGGACCGGGTGAACCGGTCCATCAATAGCCGGTCCATCACATTTTTATTAGGTTTATATGAGAAATTGACTCTTAATAGGACACAATAGAGAAAAATTATCCATGTAGTTGACCCCACATTGTGGGATAAAGGGTAGATGTTGTTGTTGTTGTTGATTTACCTTTCTATTTAATAATATTTCATATTAATGTATATTTTTATTTATAATTATTTAACATTCTTTGTTATATTTGAAATGGCGTACATCGCACCATGCTCTATAC